GTACGAGCTGACTGGGAACGGGCTCCAATGGACATAGCTCGGCAGTCGAAGTAGTTAGCAGATGGACAGGTTTGGAAAATGTGAGGGCCCATATCCTACAAATAGAAAAAAAATACACCACATAATTCTTGACTTTGATTAAGCTAAAAATTAAAAAAATTTCTACTTGGTTTTTAAAAATCATGAAAATATAACAATACTCTTTGAACTTACATCATAACCAGCAATAAGCAGCCCAACACCATACGGTCTCCGGCCATATCGTTGTGTTGGTATCTGGGTCTCTTAAACTGGTTAAAGAACTTGTTCTAACAAGGAATAAAGTACGATCTTTAATTTTCAAATTAAACATTATTAACAAAGGCCTCTGGTTGCTTCCTTGTTACCTAATCCACCAGAGGAAAAAGAAAATAAAATAGGACAGTATTTCCTTGGCCTAAAATTTTAAAATGTTTGACTTTCCACCAAACACAAGAAAGAGTGCTACCAAAATCATCTCATCCCATGTAGAACCTCATTTGTTTTGGACATAAGGGGTCCAGGACTTTTGGGGACATCCAGAACCAGTAAGAAATTTTAAATCCCCTCTAAAAATGATGCATGAATAATTTTCCTGAAATTGACGTTATCTATGCCGGGAAAGTATCAATTGCTCATAAAGGCCAATGAAAGAGCAACCCAATTCCTTAAAGTTATTACATGGCTGGGCATGGTGGCTCACACCTGTAATCCCAGCATGTTGGGAGGCTGAGGCAAGAGGACTGCTTGAGGCCGGACATTCAAGACCAGCCTGGGGAACAAAGTTTCTACCAAAAATTGAAAAATTAGCCAGGCATGGTGATGTGCGTGCCTGTAGTCCCACCTACTCAGGAGTCAGAAAGAAGCAGGAGGATTGTTTGAGAGGTTGCAATGAGTTATGATGACGCCACTGCATTCTAGTTTGGGAGACAAAGTGAGACCCAGTGTCAAAGAAATTAAAAAGTTTCCATAATTTTACTTATGTTATATATTATCATATTCCTAATAACTAACATAAGGATTAAATATCAAAACCCTTTTAAATTCATATCCTAAATGCTAATAACATAAAAAGGATACTGCTTCCGATTAGAGATACAAGACGAGACACAGGAAGTGGTCTGTCAAATACAAATCTGGAATCCAAACACTCCTGGCGCATAAAATTACTAAAAAAGAAACAAGAAAAATTAGTAATTTCAACAGACAGCTATTCTTATATAAATAAAAGAGTTTGATTTCACTTTGCTTTCTTCCAAACATTTACATGGATTACATCTATCTAAGGATATCAGAAAGGTAAGAAAGACAAGGCCACGAGGATGCATTTTTGTGCCAAACTCTGGGGCCACATGAAGTCTGCAAAAAAGACTAAAATATTCCATAGCTCTAGAAAATCTGTTTCAGAGCACTTATAGAATAGAGAAGAGAAGGCTGGGCAAGGGGAAAAGAGCAATCTCTCTTCTCTTATCCTTCCTACTGTCAGCAAGTTTGTCTTAACTCTAGGTCTTGAACCAGCAAAAAGAGTACCTACTCTGTTTTTTTTTTCCCTCTTGAAAACAGACTAAAATTTCCCAAATAAAGCAAGTGTAAGAAATAGAATCTATAGCAGAGGACATCTTTACATGTTCTTCCCAATGTTAACTTCTATTCATAAGCAGCACTCTAGAGGAGATACTGGACACTACTGCTGTGTCTCACTGTTAAATCTGATAAAATCAAGCAAGGTTAACATCAGGAAAAAGGGAATCATGTCTGTTAAAGAGGATAAACAAGAAATGAATATGTTCCACTCTTTCCATGTTTCTTTGTCCACTATGTGTATGTCACATCTAATGATCAAATGTTGTCAATAGGAACCAAACTATTTCTTCAGGACTTTTACTTAAGTCCATTTCCAAGACTAAAAATGCACTGCCCAATATGGCAAGCAATACTGACATGTGGCTACTGAGCCCTTGAAAAGCAGCTAGACTGAACTGAGATGTACTGTAAGCACAAAATACACACCAAATTTCAAAGATTTAGTACCTGCCAAAATGTACAATACCTCATTAATAAAGGTTTTATATTGAATACGTTAGAAAGTTAATATTTTAGATTAGGTTAAATAAAAGATTGAAATACAACACATTTTACGTTTTTAAGAGTAGACAGAAATCCATAATGCTGTCACTATATTGCTGACTTAAGAGAGCAAGGGACTGGCTCAATAACTTGAAAATCTTAAACAATGGCATTCACTATCTCCTTTTTTTTGAGACAGAGTCTCACTCTGTTGCCTGGGCTAGAATGCTGCGGTGTCAGCCTAGCTCACAGTAACCTCCAACTCCTGGGCTTAAGTGATCTTCCTGCCGCAGCCTCCCGAGTAGCTGGGACTACAGGCACGCACCACCACATCTGGCTAATTTTTTTTTTTTTCTACTTTTAGTTGCCAGCTAATTTTTTTCTATTTTTAGTAGAGATGGGGTCTCACTCTTGCTGAGGCTGGTCTCAAACTCCTTACTGCAACTGATCCTCCTGCCTCGGCCTCCCAGAGTGCTAGGATTACAGGTGTGAGCCACCATGCCCAGCCCTACTATCTCCTTTAGTGTTTATATTCTTTCTTTTCTAACCACAAAACAAATTTAAGGATTAGTTTGGGCTAACTACCTTCTCCCTCCAACATACAAACATATTATCTGAAAAACACTGTGTTAAGTGCTCTACAGGTTAGGCTATTTAACAATAATCTTGAAAAAGAAAATACCAAAAAAATTAAATATTTAAGTAATTAGCCCAATCTCAGATACTAAGTGGTAAAGGTGAGAACTCCATCTGTGTGATTTCAGAGTCCCACCTCTTCCTTTGTATTTTGCCTCTGAGTCAGAAATAATCCCTATGTCCTCTGGACTCCCACAGAAATTTACCTGTTATTCTATACTTTCTACCTTGTATTTTACATAAACTAGATTTTAAGTTCCTTTAAGATAAGATCCATGTCTGAGTCACCTTTATATACCCTGCAGATCCAATATTGAGCATTGCAAAAAATAAATGTCTAATAAATACTGATGTATAAAGAAAGCAAACGTGGTTCAGCTCATCCTTAGAAATCAGACAGAAGTATCAAGCTCTTCTTAGATACAACATGGTTTCAAACAATATACATTGCATTAACAAGTATGACATTATTCAGTGACTTCTCAAAAGTGTTACTATTAAGGCTGGGTGAGGTGGCTCATGCCTGTAGTCCCAGCTCTTTGGGAGGCTGAGGCGGGAGCATCGCTTGAGTCCAGGAGTTGGAGACCAGTCTGCAAACAAAGTAAAACTCCATCTCTACAGAAAATGAAAAAATTAGCTAGGCATGTTGGTGCATGCCTATAGTCCCAGCTACTTGAGAGGTTGAGGTGGGAGGATGGCTTGGGCCAAGGAATTCAAGGTTACAGTGAGCTATGATCACGCTACTGCACTCCAGCCTAAGCAACAGAGTGAGACCTTGTCTCAAAAAAAAAAAGAGTTTAACTCTATAAATTACTATGACAGGGATCAAGAAATGGAATATTTAGCAACCAATCCAAACCCACTTTCAGGTATTCACAATCTTTAACTTATTAACATCTGGCAGACAACTTCCTAAAATATCTTACCTGGATCTTTTCTAAAAAAGTAATCAATTATGAGTCAAAAGGGATGTTTCTTTTGTTTTTCATGATCATACTCACCACAACAGTCTAGCATCAGCAGTAAGCCCCGCAATTGAGATACCAATATGGTTGTCAACATGGAGAATTTTTTTCTGATGAGCTGCAAGCTCTGACTGTGCCCTCTAAATAGAGACATTATAAGACATAAAAATAAGTTTATAACTTTATTATCTATATAGTGAAATTTACATTTGGTAGTTCTGTTTTCTAAACGAGAAAGATATATGTATTGCTTTACTTACTTTCAAAGCTACCAACACTGCATGGGTTTTTGACTTAAGACCAACTGTGGCTGAACCTTGTTTAACAGCTTCCATTGCATATTCAATTTGATGAA